TGTGGATGAGTCACGGCCATTGCTTGGCCAATGTGATCTCTGTGAAAGCCTGAGAGAATGTTTTCTCTCCATGTGACTCTCCTTAGGCACATTCTACATTATCGATTGTTTCCTCTTTGGCCCCATAATCTCCTTGATCAGAAAATTTGGGACACTACCGAGTTACATGATGTTACAGTACAAGTTTTCATATGTCTTGAATATTAATTGACCTTGGAAGGCTAGGGCCAAAATGTAGGCTTTCCTTGTGGCCCTCCTTTTTCTCTAATTTTGGTCTGCAAATTTAGGTTATTAACCCTCCAGAAGACAAGCTTATTAAAGCAGAATCTTTTTCATGCCCAAAACCTTATTTGCACTCATGAGCAACGTAAGCCTCATAATTAATGTCAAATTGGCCTTTAATTAGGGCTTGTAGCTGCGACTTCAAAACAGTCTTTCCTGTCACCCATTTTGTTAAGTGACACTATCCTATGTAAAGATTAAAAAACCACCAAATTCTTTCCTAAAATGTAAACTTTAAGTCATCTCGAATCAAAACCGATGTGCTGAGTTAAGCTTTCGGACTGCTTTCCTAGTACATGAAACACAACGCTTCAAGCCCTGGGAGCTTACGTGTGGTTTCTACATTAATAAAAGCCCATTTGGACTGGAGAATCAGATGTCTTATTCTGCCCCTACTGATCCTGTAAATAAATATACAGGGAGATGTGAAGAGAAAACCAGTCCTTGTTGAATGGCTTTGGGCTTAAACACAGACCCAGCTGGGAGTCTTTTAAGGGACCCTGGGCCATATTGCCATTTCAGAGATTTCTTACAGGTTAGCAAAGCTCCCAGCACCAATCTGAGCCTTACTAGAATCACAACAAAGGAAAAATTGACACTCTCAATTCAGTCTTTCTTAAAATTGTTAATTTTTTTCTCTCATTAGAACTGGTTTTAAATATGTTGCATTAATATATCACCTTTCATAATTATTGATTTTTTTGGTGGGCCATAAATTTTGGAGTCAACCTCACTAGCCTTTTGTAGATCCAACCCTGTTCTAGGCACCTGTGGATCCACAGATGGTGGTTGGCAGTGTGCAGGGACTGTCTTCTAGGCCTCTCGGTCCTTGGCCCACCCCAAAGTTTTAAGACATCTTTCTTCCAAAGAAGATGTCCTGGGATGTCATCTCCTGCAGTTTCTCTTCCTACATTTACTTTACATCATCATTATGTCCTTGGCTCTGTTTTTGTGGGTTCCCCAAGGCAACTCAAGAGCAAAGCGTGATCAGGAAAACTGATTAGGAGGGGCATGGATGGAGGAGTGACTAATTTCAGGTCTCTAGAGAAGATGCTGATTTTCTCCAGTAGTGTTTTCTGTAAGATAGCCAAAGGAGGGTGGCATTCAAAGAATTAAGAATGATAAGCATGGGTGTAGATTACAAGTATAATGTATAATCCATGGCAGTTCACTTTGAATCAGTAGGGCTCAAACATAATTGTATGAAGACGGCTTATACTGTTACAGGCTCAGAGACCATTTGTTCAGATTTTACTTTGTATTTTTCTTGGGTGTGAATTTGGGTTAGTTTTGTGCTGAGGATTCAACTTGGACACTCATCACTAAGCTGCATCAGCCCTGTCTTACTTATTTTGAACCAGGGTCTCGTGGAGATGCCCAAGTAGGACCCAAACTTTCTCTCCCAACCCTAATCTCCCTTTGTGCTGGAATTACAGGTGTGAGTGGCCACACCCAACTTACCTTCCTCACAGAAGGGTTTGGTTGATGTTTTCTTTATTCAAAGATGAGGTTGATCTGAAGGTACATCATTGCTTTATAGAACAGATGTATTCTGGCCAAATAAAAAGATGATTCAAATGGAGAAAATGTCTTAGAGTCTAAGAAAGCAGCAACATGGTCTGAGACTGTGTTCCTCGCTGCCGCCGCTGCCGCCGCTATCTCCTTTTCCAGCACAGGGCTTGGCACAAACCTGGGTGCTTGTCCCCACCAGGTCTCCTCCCAGTTGGCTTAGCAGTGATGTATTTTTCTTTGTCACTTCTTCCCCACTGCTTTTGGTGGCAGAAGCTGTGGTCTTTTTGCAGAGAATAGCACAGCTCACCAATGCTTTTAATAAGCATTCACTGATGGATAAGTGATTGGCCCTTCATATCACTACAAATAACATGTATTTCTGCACAGAAATATCTGCCAACTTTTGAAGGATAATTATCCAAAGAATTTTTTTTTTTTTTAGGGAAGGGTCTACAGAGTCTCACTGTGTAAATCTGAGTGATCAGCCTGTTTACAGCCTCGCAAGACCTGGGATCACAGGAGCTACCATTCCTAGTCTCAATTGCCATCTCAGTGCCCCCTAGGGTCAGGGCTGGCAGAGCAGGCCCAGGGATCTAACCCCTGGCCCCTGCGCCTGCTTGGAGGCACTTTAATCCGTGAGCCCTTATCCAAAGAATTTTAAAAATTAACTTTTGTTCATTGTAGAAAATATATCCAGTGTGTGTGCTAATGTTCCCCTTCTCATGCAGCCACTTTCCTCCCCTTCTCTTTTTCCCTCTAGGGGTTCTTTAGGAGGAGCCAGCAGAACAATGCCTCCTATTCCTGCCCTAGGCAGAGAAACTGTTTGATTGACAGGACCAACCGAAACCGTTGCCAACACTGCAGACTGCAGAAGTGTCTTGCCCTAGGAATGTCAAGAGATGGTAAGGGATTCACCTTCCTATTTCGTGCTTAGGGGTTTTCAAATGGATGCTTCATGCAGTCTTTTTAAGCCACTGGAAGAATTTAAATGTGGGAACTGGGGATAAGAAAAAAAGAGAACCATAGAGCAGGCAGTGAATTAAGAAGCAAAATTAATATGTAGCACAGACTATTGCCCACAGAATGAGAAGGGAAGATCACACTGCAGCGCATGGAGCAGCCTACGCCGTCCAGGTGAAGTGAAAGCAGCACAGGCCTTGGTTGAAGGCGACCATATGTCACGTTTACCTAGGAGTAAGGTGTGTCCTGAGATGTGAGACTTTCAGAACTAAAACTAAAGAGTTCTCAGCAGTCAGGAAGCATGCAGTCACTGGCTAAATCTCACTGGTACACAAAATGTGTAGTGAGGGAAAAAAAGTTAGGCTGCCTGATCAGACGTTCCCAGATAAGGGTTTGCAGCATTCTGAGCCATGATGGAGACTGTGAAAGCTACAACCAAGAAAATTCATTTTTCCTGAGTTTGCTATCTACTCACTATATGCCATGGTTTATGAAATGATATACAAATGGACATTAAGACTGAAAACCCAGTGATTTGAACAGTTTGTTAAGCTGCTTACTTACAGATAAGCCACTGGACATTTAACATTTACCTGTTTGACACGTCTTTGGACTTAGGACTCACGACACAGACTTGTGACCCATATTTTTTGTACAGTTCTGTACATCTTGTTTACAGGGTCTTAATGTATTTTTGTACAGCATACATAGTTTACTCTACTGTAATTTTTGCTGATTGTACTGTATGGTACAGCACTGTAGTTTTATGCTCTGATATGTATCATAGTGCTGCATGTAAGACTTATGCAAATAAAAGCAAGGTCATCCCGTTGTAGCTCCTTTGACCATTTCTTCGTTCTGAATGTTGGAAAGTATGTTCTGCAGGTGATTCCTCACTTAGTGACCAGTTCACTTCACAACCTAGCAGAGAGAATAGGACGAATGTCTGTATTTATTTTTGTTATGTCCTCCTACAATCAAAGAAAGGTCTCCTGTGGAATGGCAGGTCTGTGTCTGTGCCGGACAAGACATAAGGGTACATCCAAGGGCACACTCAGTAGACTCTGTCTTTGGCCCACCAAGTCAGATTTTTGAATCCCATTACTTATAAGAAATACATTGAGAGTATTGCTTATGGTAGGCAACCACAGTCTGTTCTCGAGGAAGAAACTTACTATGGCAAATAATTTATTCTAAGAAAATAAAAGTGGCATAAAGTCTTAGGACCCTGGGGGGAGTAAAGACAATGACCCATTTGAACTTTAGACCCAGAAACCATCCTCATGCTGCCTGTAAGATCTCCCCAAAGGCCTCCTAAATATATCAGACATCAAACTAATCATGAAGAAAAGTGATCCGAGTAGGAGTGGTAGTTGGAAATGTGAAGAAGTGGCTCAGGAAAACATACACAGCCTCTCTCTGTTTCTCTCTCCCTTTCTCCACCCCCACCCTTTAGAAAAAGACTCATTTCTTTTTAGGGTTTTTTTTTAATGTATTTGGTACACGGTCTCCCTACACAGCTCAGACTCTACTGATCCTCCCATTTTCAGCCTCCCCAGCGCTGGGATTGCAGGCGCACGTCACCACTCCTGGTCTCTGTGGCCACTCAGCATGTCCCAGGGGTGGGACTGACATGACATATGGTGCCAGGGATAGAACCCCGATCCCTGCGCTTGCCTAAGCAGGTGCTTAGTCCACTGAACTATGTCCTGGACCCTAGAAAGCCTCTTCTTTACCATGTCAAATAGAAGAAGTTGGCCAGAACCTTTATTAGGTTGAATATGTTACCCCAAACACATCATACTAATATCCAGAGGCTGAGTAAACTTTATCAACTGTGGATAAGTAATGTCAAGAATACAGTATTGAATTCAAAAGCCTTGAGGTTCAGGTTCACTCACAGGGTCTAGTCAGAATTCAAACACAACAGTTAAACTTTCTCCCACCATTCTTTTTATTACCCCTTTCATCTGCTCACTAAGCAAATACTTTCAAAGTACTTTAGCAGTATGATCAAAACCAGCGTGAAATACCATCCCACTTAGCTGGTTTACACCCTCCCTTCCCTCAGACATGCACTAGAGTGTGTTCACTCTGATTTATATGCTCCTTCCTGGCTCCAGGAATCTCTACTTCATTGGCACCAAAAAAACCATGACTGCCAGTAAGCAACTTATCAAACTGTTTAAATCACTGGATTCTCATTCTTTTCTGAATTGTCACTTGTGTACCATTTTATTAGCCATGGCACATATATGAGTAGATGGCAAACTCAGCAATGGCGAATTAGTTCAAATTTAGCTTAGGCACACACGCAAAAGAATCGAATCCACTTTAAATATATCCGTATGTGCTTGTGTTTGTAAAAAGGTGAAACAATGCATGGGTGTGTGAACTGATTGTAGGAATCTCCTCCATCTTATCTATTTTTCTTTTAACTGGATCTTTCACAAATTTGTTTTCATTAAACTCTTTATAAAAGAATAGTCAGTGTAACTGTTCCCTGAAAAAATGGTCACAGTAAAAAGATACTGAGCCAAAAGAAAAATTGAAAACCTAGCGAAATAACTAGAATGTGGAAAAATTAATTTAATTAACAAAATTTTAAAATCTAGACTGTGTCCCCATCCATGGCACACCTCTGTCCAAAGACAGAGGCTGCCCACCAGGATGAGTTCACATCTCACGCTTCTTCTATTCAGCACTATTTTGTCCTACCATGTGTCACCATTTAAATCATTTACATTTCAGTTAATTAAAATGAAATAAACTTAACACACAATTCTTTAATCACAGGAACTGTACTTCAGCTGCTTGACAGCCACATCGGCTTGTGGGTACCATCCTGGAAATCATAAAAAACGTTCTTTGATGTCTAAAAATTCTGGTAAAGAAAAAATAGGAAATGACAGAGATTTCAAATGAATAGTGTTGTGTACATTGAGACTTCGAATCCATAGTCTACAGCACTAAAGGGGGAGGGGCACATCTCAAGCTGAAGAGTTAGGTTTAGATCAATTTAACTGGTAAGCCCCAAAACATAAAGGTAAAGAATTGCATAACTGAAAGTTGTAAGGTAGGATAATTTCCAAAAATAACTATACAATACTGTCCAGCTGGGTTGTCTTAAATCCACAAATACCTGTCCAGGTATCATGTAGTAATAAGTAGAAACCTTTGAAGGTTCAATGGCTTCATGTTTTTGCTATTCTGAAATTTTCCATTGCAATGGATCTCACATTCCAAATAAAAATGCAATGATTTCTAATACTTCTGCATAAAATTAATCTCTACTAACATGACATTGAAATGGGCATTGAAAGTACATCATGAACAAATGCTATCATTACTGAATGTGTATTCTCCTGGTTTCTTTATAAGCACTAGCGGTTTCGCGAGAGGCTGCATCTACACTCAAGTGAATGTCATTAATGGAATAACTCAAGTTTGAAAGGGGCAAGCATTGACATATATGCTATTCTCATTAGTGAATAGTGATAAGAATGAAAATACTTAAAAATATAATAGTAATATGGCCATTATTGAATCAGTTGGTGAATCCAAAAAATGTGTCTCCAAATAGTGACAAACATTATTTATATGTCATGAAAGTTTGGTAGCTTTATTTTTGCCATGCACTGTAATTCTTTCCCAAATATGTCAACATTTTCACTTCAAAAAGAGATGTAAAATTGAAATATGGATGAGCTAGTATTTCTGAAATGAATGGAAAATTCATTCTAAGATGGTATTACAGTCACTGTGAGGTCCTTGATTTAGGATGAAGCCTGATAATTCTAAAATGTAGTCCAGCTTTAATATGTTTCTTTCTAAATATATCCATTGTTCTATGACCTAATAAGTGGATTTCTTAGAAAAGGCATAGCTTTTCTCCGTTGAATTTTCAGATTTTCTTAGCAGAGCAGAGCCTATGGCAGCAGACTTCTTTTGACATCGTTAGCTCTAATTATGATGACAGTGGTTAACAGCATAATTCTGCCTGCCTCAGCAGCAGGTCGGCTCTGGGGATCATGGTCACCAGTAGCCATCTGGGGGGACTGAGGAGGCGCAGACAGCTTTCATGTGCTCTGAAGCCAGCTAGCTCAGGCATCTTCCTGTCAAGCTGAGGTACCCAGTCTCCCACGTCCTTTTCAAACCTGTTTGTACTACACGTGTTAATGACACCCTGGTCCAGAGCAGGGACTCGCGACCATGAGTTCAGAGCTGGGCGGCGTGGACTCTCTTCCTAGGGTAAAGGAACTAGAGCCGTCAATGCAACCCATGGGCCACAAGGTACATTTCTCTCAACTATAAAGCACACAGAAATCTAAGGCAAGAATCAAATGAAAAGTGCTTTTTCAAAAAAAAAAAAAAAAGCACTGTTTTTGTTTTTACAAGTTAGAAGAGTTTCTCATTCTGAGTTGTAGTTCTTGGAAATTTTAAACAAATACATGCAAAAGTATTCCATTAAAATAAGTAAGAAAGTAGATCTGCGCTGGCCTAGATCAAAAAAAAAGTAATCTCTAGTAGTAGAAATACTTCTTCTATTCACCTTTGTAACTACAACAAACAGCTGCTCTGAACTGCCATGAATGGAAACGACAGAAGGGCAACAGATAGAGAAGTGTGTCACAATATTTGCTTGGAGGAAGAGATCTTTCTGAATCAATTTTGTTATCATTTACTTTTCCTTATATAAGAAGGCTTTTATTCCCCTAGAGAATAGTACAAATTATTTGGAAAGGTATCATATAATTGTACAGTGGAAGCTTTACCTAAAAATTACTGTAAAATTCTACCCAAAGACAAACTGGAAATATCACTGCAGTTAGTAAGTAAATAAAGTTGTCTCTGAGAAACAGAATCTAATAAAAGGCAGTGTCTCTACAAACAACGTGAAGCACAGTGAACTCAATATTCAAGACCCAGTAAAAGCAAGAACTGAGATGGAAAGGAGACTCTGATGGGAATTAATCAGATTGCTTGTCTTCATTCATAAAAATTACTGGATAATTACCACTTAATTTTTCCATTTAGCATCAGAAAGGCAGAATATAAGACTTTTTTTCTTTGAGAGATAAAACAGAAATAGACAGTGTACAAACTTCTCTATTTCCAGCCCTCACCTCTCCATCATCACTGGCTAAAAGGCCGGTGATGCAGGCCCCTTCTCATCAGCATTTAACCACTAGGCCACATCTGTGAGGAAATGTATCCATTCTTTTTTTTTTTTTTTTTTTTATTTATTTTGTGTGTGTGGGTGGACAGTTCAGCCCACCAGGGGGCGGGGCTGGCTGGCATGTGGTGCTGGGAATTGAACCGCGGTCCCTGTGCTTTTGTTTATCTTAGCTTGTTCTAAGTAGGTGCTTTAGACCACTGAGCCATCTCACCAGCCCAAATGTATCCATTCTTAACAGACACATTTCCGTGCAAAGATACAATTTGGGAGCTCCATACCCAGTGGAAGGAGAAGAGGAATTTTGGGGGGATGCTGTGGGGAGTGAGTAGTAGCTCTCTCACAGCGTGAATGTCTATCGGGGGCCACTCAAGCTACAGAATTCTCAAACACTTTATCCTTTAGTTATTCTCAGAAAACCACCTGCCCTGGCACCTGAATCCCAGAACTCCAACTCTTTCTGGCCCCTGTCTGCTTCTTTCTCTGAGGAAGAGATCTTTCTGAATCAATATTTGTGATTCAGCGGGTGATAGGAACACTACCACCAAGGAAAAGAAAATACAAATTCACAGAGGGGAGCCTTTGAGCTTGTCATAGTCCCCACCATCTATATGAAGTGAAGGGTGTGGGACAATTCAGACTAGGTAGGTCTAAGATGCAGAATGTTCACATGCTAAAAATGAAGGTGACAACCTGTGAGGGGAGACGTCAGAGCCCATAACCGTTCAGGTAGCCAGGCCGCATGAGTGAAGAAGCAACATATTGAAATGCGTGTCTCTTCAGATTACTCTGACTATTTGCAGAGCCTCTTCTTCGTTTTTCCTCAGAATAG